CATTAACCTCAATAATCTTTGAGTCATCTTTTGCCTTCTCTCTGCCTGCTTGGTTGTTTTCCTATTTGCTTGAATCAGTGTAGTTTCCAAGGCTCGTCTATGTAAATCAATAATTACTGCAAAACCTTACATTCCTGCCCTTGGAAAGAACAAGATTCCTGTACAAATCTCCCTCAGAAACACTGAACCATGAGACTTCTCCAGCTTTAATTCATCTTCCATGGCCAGATGTCAGGCAGGCAGCCTAGTAGAGACAAAGACAGATTTGGGTTTTTACTTTCTTCATACTGGTCTGTAAATGGTTGTTGCCCTGGCCCTGCCGTGAGTCATGAAAATGATACCGCTAGTTCCCTCACCGCACCGCTCACCCCCACCTCCGGGGCAGTCAGTTCTGCCGTCCCCGGGCACGGCCCTGCCTGCAGGCTTGTCCCTGCCTCTGCTTTCACCCGCTCCTGGGTGCCCAAGCTTGGGGAGAGTCACCATCCACAGGGCTCCCTGCACTGATGGCTGGCTCTACGGAGGGCTGGGGAGCTAAAGGCACAGCTGTGGGAGCTGATTTTGACTTGAGGGTGTATTTACAGTTCTCTTGGCTCAGTCCTTTTTGTGAAAGAAAATTAAAAGGTATTAATTTAGTTTTTAAAGGCAGCATCTTTCACAATATGACTGACTGCCAGCCTGCCTATCACCACTCAATGCTGATCGGTCCTTGCGTTGAAGGACTCTTTTATGAAGTCCAGGGTAGCAGCGTCCAGCTGTATGACTGCATGCTGCAGCTGGTGGCAGAGGTGAAGCATGCTGTTGCAATCACTGCTTCCTTCCCTCTACCTCTGCTCTCTCCTTTTGTATTCCATAACTCAGCTACAGAGGAGGATTTTGCTGGTTGACAATTGCGCAGCATAACCTGGTGCAAAGCCCAAAGGGAGGAGGGTGTTCATGCTAGGCAGAGCACTAAGAATTCAGGAGGGACCACATCAGACCTAGGAAAGATCTAAAGATTATGTAGTTCTTTTCAATGTTTTCTTTCCTCACCCTTGCTCTTTTTTAATGCCAAGCCCGCTAATGGTTTATGCTGGTTGAAAAAACAGTTCAAGTTTTGCCCCATATCAGACTGGCAGTGAAGTGTGCATGGGGGTTTACTCAAGTGGCAAAGATATCTGATTTGAAAAAAAGCAAACAGTTGAGGCCATTCGTACAAGTCATGCTCCTGTACACTTTTAATCAGATGTGTCTGCCAAAAGAGATCTTGCACAAGCAAGTCTGGCTTCATGCAATGGGAAAATTTTTGTGTGTATGCAAGCTGGCTTCGACTTCTTGATAATGTGGTCTCTGGAAGCAGTGTTAATGTGCTTGTTATATCCCTGGCTGCTGGAATTACCTTAATATCAAGGTATTCATGGTTGGTGGTTTGGTATGTAGCTCTACGTTTTATTGACTTTGTCTGCACTAAACTTCCTTACCAGCATGTGCTCTGATGGGGAGTCTCCTTTGGCTATTCCAAAGGGCTGGTGAGGAAAGGAGGTAATTCATAGGACATTAGAGCACTAGACAAGTCTGAGATGATTTCATTTTCTTCCTTCTTGAAGTGTCTGTTTCCTTAACTGTACTTCAGTTCACTTTTATTTGCAGCTACAGTTTCAGTAGGGGTTTTTTTACAGTAATGAAAAATACTTTATCAGTGTAAAATCAGTTAGCTAACAGACAGTAGATGTTATTTTAATTTTAAAATGTATACTACTGTTGTTTTTCAGGCTTATTTGCTTATATTAACTTACTGTGGTAGATGTGCTTTCTGATTTAGAGGGAAAGGAGTAGAAACCAAACAAACCAAAATCTTTTGGCTGAGGTATTGGGGATGGTTGTCAGGGCGTAGAGTATCTGAGGTGCCTATATATAGTGTGGCATGGGAAGCAGTAATGTGATGCAGGTGTTATAACATGGGGTTTATACATACGGACACCCACAAATCATTTACTGTGGGATATGGTACTGGTCACTTCACTCAGGAAGCAGGGGGGAAGTGGAGGGTAGGGTTCCTCTGAAGCCCAAGTTTGTTCCACTGTTGGTTTCATCAGTTTCTTCCCCCAGATGACTGCTGCTGGCTGCTGCCAGTGATAAGGGAGAGCAGCAGAGGCAGCGCTGCTCCGAGGTGGCATGACAGATCCTCTCTTCCCGTATCAGTGTGGCAGAGAAGAAGGGAAGTATTTCTGCAGGGAAAGGAAACCAAGATGAATTTCCCTGGAGAGGAAAGAGCACTAGAGGAATCCAGGATCACACAGGAAAAAGTGATGTAAGAGAAAAAGAATAGGAAGCAAATCAACACAAAAAATACCCTACCACCAAAAAAAGCACCAGAAATTGGCTGGGATCCATTTCAGGAAATCACTGTAAAGCTGAGTAACTTTGTCACATACAGAAATACAAATCAAGTGAGGACACAAAAGATGACAGGGGAGCTCTGATACAGCCTCTTTCATCTATGGCGGACTTCAAAACGAACAGCTCTGCTATGCTGACCTCACACGTGGAGATCAACTTTACACATGGGGACAGTAAAGAGGCACAGTGAGAAACAGCTTTGGTTGTGATTTGAGACACAGTCTGGAGCATGCTAGACATCGCCTAGGGCTGCAGCAAAGCAGCCTGAAATAAGCCTGAAATGGCAAATTTTGCTGTCCCTCTGTTGATGTAATCCAGGGAAGACATTGCGCCTTGCAACTGCCTTCCTACCTCCCATCTTGTTGGGAGAACTCTTCTGCTATGGCATTTCAGCACGTCTGTGATGTTAGGTGTCCTTCACCAGGTCTGGAAATGTGGCAGGCTGCAGCGTCAGGATTTTCTCCATTCAGGGGACAATGAATGGTCCCATTTCTCTGGACAGGAACCAATGTATTTCAGGGCAGAGCAAAGGCAGGGGCAAGAACTTCTACCAGACCTTTGTGTGGGTTTAAACTGTGGACCTGTCTGGTGCTGCAGATGAACGGTGCAGCATATGCACCGTCTAGCATATGAAGGAAGTATCAGAGCCACAGTGCGTGTTGGGCAGAGCTCCTCTGCACAGCATGCCTGGTGCACCCCAGACATGTCAGATTTATTACACATATGCTGACCACTTGTGCAGAAGCCAGTGTTTCTTGGGCATGGTAGAGCCATGGTGAGTGTTGTATGCCGAGCATACACGTGCCCCTTGCCTTGGGCCAGCCCCGACCGTGATCAGGCAAGTCTGTGCTTTGCTGAGACCAGGAGCCCTGTCCCTGCCCCACCAGCTCAAGCCCACCAGCTGGAGCACCGAGGAGGGAAGGTGGAGCCTTGGCCGTCTCCATCCTCGTGGCCTGCAGAGGAGGAGGAGCTGGCAGCCCTGGGGAGCTGCTCCCAGGAGCAGGCGTCCAGGTAGGCTGAGCAGGGGGATGGGATGGGGACATGTCCCCGGCGCTGGATTGGAGAGGCCAGCTATCTCCTGGCCTAGCAATTTGTGGCAGGGAAATTTGTTCTGACAACATAATGTTTGTGCCTGGAAGTAATGGCTAAGGGGAAGTGTGCTTGAGAGGAAGAAGTGTACTTATTTCGGGACAGATTTTTGCACATGTTTTATATCCATGGCTTATCCAGGGTGAGGCTCTGTGTGGGGAACAGATCCTCTTCACTAAGTGGTATGCATTTTCCTAAAAGGTTTCCCGTTAGAAGTTGCATGGATTTACTGCGCACTGACAGCAGTGCTTGATTTTGAGTTTGCCTAAAGAGCAGTTGCATGTATGCTCCTTCCCACCCCTACCCCTCCCACCCCCCCATTTCCTCCCGTTGTTCTTTTTCAGATCACTTGAAGGTTTTTTCCTGTTTATTATCCGGACATGCTGCACACTGTGTGTTGATTTGACTGTCACATAAGGAATCTCCTACTGGGATCATTGATGCATTCCTTTCTTTTATATATATATATCTCACTATGGCTCCTAGGCTATGGAAGAGAAATGTTGGTGATGATTAAACCAAAATTGGAACGAACTACAGGTGTTAATGGGAGTTGAGTTTAATTACCCTTTCCCAGAAAACCTGCAACAGTGTGATGGGTATAGTCATAAACAAAAATTCTCCTTAATTGACATAACAGGAAAGGTACTTTAGTGAGCAATTATGCTGATGTCCTGGACTGGCACATGTGTGTACCACAAATATATCTTGTACTTCCTGCAAAATTCTTTTAAGTAGTTATAAGGAAGACATTCTTTCTTTTTTTTTTTTTTTTTTTCCAGTGGTTCATGAAAACGAATCACTTAAGGCTCTTTTTGAGGAAAACAACGGAACAAAACAATGCTTTTTTGTACGACCTGCCAAAGCACAAAGGATGCATGGGATGTTTTTTTTCTTTGTTGTTTTTGTCAGCAGG